ATAAATTTGCAGATATTTAAGACTGTAAGTAATTTATATCGTCAGCTGCGGATTTTGACACTTAAATTTGAAGAGTTGAGGCTATTAAAATGTACAGAGGTGGTCAAAGAACTGTCTATATCTGTCGGGCAGTTGTGTTGAAGACTTTCCGCGGTCTAGTTCCTTGTGTCTTAAAATCTTTTGTGAAACTCATTACCGTTGCTTTAAATTGACACTTTCATTTCTGATACCTGGATTCCTATTTTTTATTTTTTTTGGGCCGTATTTATTTAAAATATATTCATAGTCATTTTGTCAAAATCAGTGACGATGGAATTTGATATCGAAATCTACTTTCGTTTTCGAAAAGATCTATAAGACGCGTTGCGCAATCTCTTTTGTTTCATTTATTCAAACGCTTTAATGATCTTCTTGACTAACCAATCAAAAAGTTATTAGATACCATTACGGACTAAGAATAATACAAAGCTACGTAACCACAACTTTTGTAAAACATGGTAGGGCCTATCGTATTTTCACGCGATATTTTTTCTCCACTGAATATTCTGGCCAGTACCGTGAATGAATCCAACCGGGTAAAAGTACCGGGTACCGGCAGATTTTGAAAGGCCTGTCCTAGGCAGCAGATCCCATGTTCAATAATAATACATGTATAATTACCCTTTCTTCACTTGCTGTGCTAGATGTCTCTGTTTCATGGATGGCTTATATATGGAAGGCAGAGGTGGAGATTCCTTCAGTCCCTAGACAAAACAGATTAAACTTGATAATGAACTAAATAGATCAGAGTTAGAGAGATGTATATGCTGTTTTACTTTATGACACTAATCTCTTCAGAGTGAGACTGACCTTGACCTCACTAACCACTTCCTGTAGTTGTCTGGTAATGTCTGCCATAGCAGCGTCCACTTCTTCATGTTCCTCCAAAACTTTTATATAGGCACTGTCAAAATGTATAGATATGTCACAAGGAATGTGGAGTGGGCACATAATCTAGTGCACATTTTGAATAGTGATCATCTTAAAACTATCAACTAGAACATCATAATAGCTGGGTTTTTATATCAGATTAAATTTGGCATTTCACTTGCTCGAAGGTACATGTATGTGTTAAATGTGAAGAAGGACTAAAAAGTAATAATATATACATTGAAAAAGCTCAAATCATGAAAGACTTGTAATAAGTTATATTAATTGACTCACAAAGAGGAATTAAGTAAACTGATGAAAGTTATCTTTCCTGCACTTATATTAGCATAAAGAATGTTGCACTTTTGTAGACTACTTTGAAACTGCTACAAAAATGTAAATTTATCCAAAATTAGCACCCTGCTAAAAAAATTCCACCATACAATATTTTGCAAGTTCCATACTTGATGCACATATACATATATAGTTGTATACTAATTTACTCAAAAGAGATATGATATAAACCTGTGCCATCTTCTAAATGTTGTAAATGTGGCAGCCATGGAATGCTGAACTTTCTTTAAGTAAGACACAGCTCGCTGGTAATGAAAGGATATTGATGTCCTGTCCAAAAAAATTGTTTATAGATATTTTATAGGATGTGATATACATAACCTAGTAAAATGAATATCAAAATAATGTTCCAAAAACTTTTTATTTCTTTTCAAAATTAAATGATATTAATAATGATGACCCTCACTTGTCAAATGTGTAGAGTTTCTTGTCGTGGTAATTTAGTCGCGGTAATTTACGGTAGTCTGAGAACTTCTGCAATATCTCCATCATCTGTTTGAATGTTCTCTCAACCATTGCCTTTCTGAACACAGAAGAAAAGTTTCTCTCAGTCTCAAATACAATAACATATAAATATATATAGTGTGCAATTGCAAGGAATTTGTTTAAGCTTTAACAATTTCAAAAGCAACTTCTGAGAAATATATCCACTTAAAAATTACTTTGATTCAAGTAAAGAAATCATGCTCACATATTTTCCTGAGTAATGGAATTCATGATTTTGGTCAACTCATCCAGTTTCTTGTGTTTTTCTTTACAAACTTCCAGCAAAGATGTACAGGAATCTAGCTTATTGCTGATCTGAAAGACACAATGAACTTTTAACTTATTCTATGGAATATGTCAAAATTGATAAAAAATTGAATCAAAATAATTGCACATTTTGTCCTTTTCACTAAAAATTACAGGAAATCCAAATAGTTCATGATGGATATCTCATAGCTGAAAAATGTATTTTCTTTGCTTCCAACCTGTATTTCATTAATTCAGATAATTCAATTTATACAGTTGGCTCATTTCAATTGACTATTGTGGGCATATAAAGGGAGAAGTCTTTATCATTAATTTTACATTCATCAATGTTTGAAATGTTTGAATTTCAATTTTCAGTTTAAAAAAGTTGCTACATGCACTCGTACCATTTTATGCATGAAGGTGTAAAACCATGAAAAACAAACCTGTTCAAAGTTGTCGTCAGCGATATCTCCGTCCTCTGTAATGGTAGTAAATAACGCTGTCGATTTCTTGTGATCCGTGTCTACGATTTGTTTGATGTCTGTGTATCGGTCCTCTAAGGTCCTCACACTGCTCCTCAGGGATTTATACTTCTGTCGTACTTCATATCTACAAAAAAAAGATACTTTTAAATCTATCATCAAAAGATATGTTTTCTTTGCTTAAAAACATCAACATTTCAAATATATGCAAAGCTTTGAAAGCAGTACTTAAATTTTTCAAAACAAATATTGTATACTGTATACATATACATGTACAATTTTTGTTGTTTTTTCAAATTGTGAATCACCTTAGATTTGTCTTATTACAAAAATTAAGGGAATTATTTTTTTGGTATTACTTTCATTAAAAACTTCTCTCACTATCGCCACAACCAAATATTCCATTCACTATCCCATATCAAATTTCCCGATTCACTTCTCTGGAAAAATGTTGATCAAATCTTCGCATAAGTTTTTCAAAAACCAAAGCTCACAGACATACATGCAGATTTAGTTACAATGATATAAGGAGTCCCCCTCCAATACCTGCAGTCCCTTGACGTACTACTCAGCAGCTGAAGAGCAGACGCGGCCTGGGTAACAGCTTTATATATCATGGCCGTGGTGACACACATAGAGCGAGCTGTACGGTAATCATCATCTCGAGTCGACACGTCATCACTCGCGAACTCCACAGTCAGTTCTGTAATAAATGTAAAACTTTAATATTCTAGGTCTGAGAGACAAAAGTTTGTGTTATATACATGTATGTTTCTATGGATATGTCTAAGGAACACAAGACTTATGCTTCTTAAATGTAAGAAATTAATGTATTTCTCTGCATATACGGTACTCACTAAAACAATCCTCTGAAATAAGTTGTAAATAAAAATGAAGTATAAGCTTTATTTGGCCCATACAAGATTTTTACATTAATAACCTTCAACAAGAGACACAATGAAGTCGGTGGATGTTTTTGTGGTGAGGGATGTCCCCTCCTGTAGGGGTAGGGCTATTATTGGTTCGTCAGCTGATGTCATGGGATAGGACTCCACAGAGTCATCTAAGGAGATGGATTCTCCCAGATCATGGTTGTGAAGAAGAAAATAGGGTGATTTGATTTGTGTAAACGTCTGCTCCTGGCAACATTTCTGTAAGTCATCAAATCTGCAATAATTCAGGAAAAGTATTTGAATCAATAAATTTGAGTGTAAGTAAACTACAGTCAAACCTGGCTCTCTCATACTAGATGGGATTAAGAAATTTGTTTTTCGATAGACAATAAATTTGAGATATTGAGAGTAAAACAATTTAAAGAAAACATGCTTGGGACTTCCGAATCACTTCAAGATATGTATTGTATTGACGATGTTTAAACTGTATATACAGTACATGTGTAATGTTAAAATCCCACAAGAACTCTTTACTTGCTATCTGGGTTCATGTAGATATGATAAAGCTGTGAGTCCACCACAGAGAACAAATGTAGCTTATGTTTCTGGAGGAGATCATCTGCAGCAACAAAAAATCCATCAAACGTCCACATCCTGTGTGTCTGGCACTCCAGAAGTTTTACTAGATACTCTGTCAATGTGTCCTTGAGGTATCTGTAAAAAAGTACGGCAGCACTCATGCAATGGGCTAAGAAAAGTTTCAACTTATAAATACTGCTACTCAAAAATATTTTTTGGCAGATGGAGTCAAAGTGACCTTTAATATAATAAACTCACTTTGAAAACATGCAGGTTTTGGGCAGTTCTTTGAACCAGATAATGGACCCAGTTGCTGAAATCTGCTCTCCAGCAATAACACCCGGGTCCTTCTTTGAGATCATCTGAAACCTAAAAGCACAATAATGCTAATCAGTCTCAAAATTTATTTTTTCTTACTTTGTTAAAAATTAGTGAAATATGCAAGAATTAAGACAAAAATTTCTTTTAGAAGGAAATGTTGGTAAGCTTACATGGTATATTTGTCCCCGCGCCCATGATAGGGTTGGAAGGGGACCTTCCCAGTGGCGGCATGATACAGGGTGGCCCCCAGACTCCACAAATCAACAGAGATATCAAACTCTCGTGGACGATAGCGATCAATGAAGGCAGCTTTAAAAATGTCAGGATGCTGAAAAGTTGATCAAAACTGTCAATTTAAGTTTCATTAAACTGAACTTTGCAAAAATAATTCAAAGTTCTCATCTAGTAAATCAATACATAAATACAACAGGATTAATTCTTGATTATCCATACCAGATACTCCTCCGTTCCTACGAGAGACTGGAAGAAATCTCCATCCTTCAGAGGTTTAGCAGTCCCAAAGTCTGATAGCTTGTAGACATGACTACAACAGGAAATGAATGAGCATAGAAGAATGTTAGCAGTCATACGTTTATCAAATATTAAGGTTTATAATATGTGACAAGCCATGAGAATTTTGGCCCAAATGAGGTACCTGAGAGAAAATGAGATTTTTATACTATCTAGTAGAGATGACCCCCAGTAATAACTATCTGTTGTTTTTTCTTTGATATCCCTATTCATTGTCAAGAAAATTGGACTTTACTAATTGGTTGTTATGCGCCCGGATCGGTAAATCAGGGGCGCATACTGATTTTGTCCTGTCTATCTTTAAATATTAACCTTTGCCATAACTTTTGAACCATGAGAGATAGAAACCTCATATTTGGTATGCATATTCCAGTAGCCAAGCTCTTTCAAATGACACCAAGGTCAATGACCTTGTGACCTTGACTGTGACCTACTTGTATTTGCTAAAAATAGTCTTTTTGAACCTTTGCAATACATCTTTAACAATACGAGATAGAAACTTCATACTTTCTATGCGTACTCCACTAAATTAAGTTTTTTCAAATGACACCAAGGTTAATGACCTTGTGACCTTGACTGTGACCTATATACTAAAAATAGTTTTTTCAAAATTAGGGACCACTGGGTACATAGTGTTTCATGAACACATCTTGCTTTATCTGATATTGGTGATTTCTGCGACATTAAAGTTACATTAAAGCAATGAAGTAACACAATTTGAAATAGATGTCATTTCATTCTGAAACACATATTGTTTGATCAAATTAATACAACAGAATATAACAGTTTTAAGAACTAGATAAAATCAAACTCTTGACATCCATGACAGCATGTAAATTACATTGATTTGTTACAATGTTAATTTGCACATTTTCTCTTTCCTAATTTCACTTTCTGTTCAACTTTTATGGCTGATGGTTTTGGTACACTTGGGCGGGGACATGCCTCATGACTGGCACAGTATGGGGCCACCTCGTCGTATAAATACCACTGTCGCTGTGCGGCAAGGCCACATACTTTAATAACAGTTGGAAGAGAGGCATCCATGTTTGGAAACCTGAAATCTTTGTGTTTCAGGATGTTGACAGTAATTTCTTCATCTCCAGCATACTTTCGTAGATGGACTACTCCAGGATGTTCATGTGTCATGCTGCAAAAGTCAAAGATGTTAGATCTTCCAACATATATTGTTTTTTAAATATATTTATCTACACCTTAATGCAAAAGATATTGAAGGAGCACAGTCATGGCAGTTAGAATTAGTTAAGAATTTCTTTTCAGTTCTGTTTTTAGCAGCATACATGTATACAAAAATTTTCAAAATTCAATGCTAACAGAATTCTTCATAACCTTATACTTAAAATTTGCATTTGTCAACATGGGCTTAAATCTGATGTATTTGGTGTTTGCTTTTGGGGATTTTTTTTTTTTGTATACATGTTCATGTATTTTCTTTAATTTGACAACATAAAGATTTTTAATTGAGGGATAAATTATACAAGCATAAGAAAATAAAAGAATATATGACAAACAAACACCAAATATATATATTTAATAAGATAATCATGTATAAAGAAAAATACTAAATTAATTTTGATGTTTTGGTCTGAAAATCGCTGGTTTTACTAAAGTCATGAAATTCAGACCAAATTAAATAAAATGAAAAAAAATATAATACCATAGAAGTACTTTTTTCGTATGGTATTAATTTACGGTATGTACCCGGTCACAAATTTTTCACGGAAATTTGTCAAAGCATACTTAATAAACATGTAAGGTATATATAGGGACAGTTAAGAAATCCACATGATTTTCTACCTGCAGATTAAACAAAAATCAAGATTCCGCAGAATTATGACAGCGTGGAAAAAAGTATGTCTACAGTATACTTGAAGATCTTATCTATGCCTCTCTGTGCATTTGTTGTTCTGTGATAACTCAACCTCCAATAAATTAATTGCTAAAAAACACAGGCAATATAATGCATACCGAAAATGATGATACTGCTTGAGTTGAGGTATTGGCTTGAAGTACTGCTTGAGAAACGTGCTCCAGTCATAGAAAATGACTGGATACTGGGGATCCTCTACAAGCTGGGGAATATTATGGTTATTCCTAGATGAATGAGCAACAGATTTGGCCACTTCCTCTAGATTCTCTGCAGTTGTTCCTCGCCATTTCACCTTCCAGAGCCCAAAATGCCAGTCGGGATGAAACTTTGTATGGCCTGCCTCCATCAGAGAAAACTCAATGGTCATATGTCTGCCGGTCATAACTCGCCACATCCCATATCTACAAGACATTCTTTTAAAATAAAATTCAAAAGAGACAAGATCTCTAAATGCACTTCTAAAAGAACTTCATTATGAAACTAAACTAATCAAAGAGAGCAAATGAATTGAAAATAATTTTGCCAGTGTATTTCATTACATGTACCACATGTAAACATGGATGTATTTGACATGAAGACACCTATTGTATTAATTTTACAAAAATACCACCCACACAAATGGTAGTTAAAATATAGACAGTTGGATTGGAAATACATACCCAATAACAGTGTTGTTTTTATTTTGACCAGTGCAGTTGTCCATATGGAGTTGTAAATTCATTTCTCCATAACCTTTATGTTGAAAATGGTGGTGAATCATACTGGCAACAGAGTTTGCCCCCTTTCCAGAATGCTGAGACTCATCAATCAAGTAAAATATCTGTGATCCTGGATAAAAGTTCACAAAAAAATGTTTGCACTGAAAAAGTTAATTATTCTTTTACTTCAATTTTTTTTTATGAAAAGGTGCATTTCTAAAAATGTAATTCTAAATTTACAGGTTGCATGTATTAGCCAATTAAATGCACTGCCTAGTCTGTTTTATAAATTAAATTTGTTAGACTAGTAGTAGTAAACTTGTACATGAATCTATGAATTTTAGTTTCTATCATTGAACTAAAAGAGTAACGCTAAAAAATCAATTAGACTATTGTAGTCTTGTGTTTGACGTTCTAAAAATTACCTGAACCCTCTGAACAGATTCCAAAACACTGGCATTTCTGTGGGGTTTTGAAGAACAAAGGACCAACCTGTTGCGCATAATGTGGATAATGTATTTGCTGGGCATAATCAAAACTGTAATGTTGAGTTCCCTCCAAAGAACAGATGGGCTGACCTGGGGAAAATATCAATAGCCAATTGATTAAGAAAAATCACTAATTTAACAGAACTAATGCATAAATGATTAACTAATTTCAAACAATATTACTTGAATCATATAATAAATTGTTACCTCTGGTTTTTCTCTCATTTGGAAGAGCAGAAAAGCTAGTTTTAGAAACTTCACATTGCCTTCTGTAATAATCCCTCTGCATCTTTGATTTTTTAACATGAGCTGTGTATTTCTCAAGATGTTGCTCCTTTTCCTCTTCTGTCATATTGCCACCATGAATCAGGATATTCACATAGGATTGGCATTTATAACATAGGTCTGTTGAAGGCTTGCTAATTAGAACATGTGGACATGTATTCAGCCAAACTCTTTTAAATTCTGACAAACATATCTTTCTCAAATGTAGACTCTCTGCAGCTAACAAATAGTCCTGATGTATATCAGCCTTGGTCTTATCAGAGGGCAACACTATAGCTCTACAATCTCTGTAGTTTGGCAGTCTTCCTGGTAATGGTAAACCAAACTTGTTTCCATAAGATGTTAGAAAATCTTTTACAGATTGAACATCATTTACAGTGAGGGCATGCTTTGGATGTTTACCAATGTTTCCATGAATTCTAGGAGCGAGTCCATCCTTATCAAGGGAACGAGCAAGCGCGTCCACCGTCTTCCTATAAACTCCATGGCAAAACGCAAATGTTTCTCTACACACTTGATGTCCATTAAAAAAATATTCTTGTCTAATTCTCTCCCTTTCTTTTGATCTATGTTTCTTTGCACTAGTAACTTTGTCATTTCGCCGATGGTGAAATAATTGCACTTTGATCATCATATCTAGTTCCTCCTTGTTCATTTCCAGGCACGTGTTTCTGTATTCAAGCAAAGATTCTAAATCGACGACCTCACTACATGGTTTTCCGTAGAGTCGAGAACAACCGCATGTTTTAGAATTAAACTTTTGAAATTGGTCAATTTCATTCTTATCTACCTCACTCTGCTCTATTGGTACTAAATTTTCTCGATCTTCTATTTCTCCATCGCTTTCATTTTCGTCAGAGCTCTCTGCGTTATCAGAGTGATATTCTGGGTCGACATCCGATGTGTTTGACAAGTTTCCAAAATATAGGTCATTCACTCGATTTATTTCGTTTACAAATTCTTCATCTTCGTTTTCTACTATTTCCGGGGGGATTGTACTTGCATTAGAAACTGCACTTGTTGGCTGCAGCTTTCCATTCCGGCGATTCTATTCAGTTTAAATCTCCCTCATTTCTCGAGACGCCATGATTGTTTACACCAACAACTCGGAAACTAAAGAAGAGTTAGTCTTACGGGGAATAACTCTAAATAATCTCGATTTTTTCCCTCGAAAACTTTCAATAATATTTTAAATCAAAATAAGATCGATTTTCTTATTATTTTTGTTTATATAAAAAGTCTTTAAACATTACACAATTTAAATTCATCCTGCAATTATTTTAACAAGTGCGCGAAATTCACGCTTTTTTGTAAACGTTGATTGTGACGTTTTTTTCATTATTACGTTTTGCCGCATTTGGGCCAAAAATCTCATGGCGAGTCACATATAATGATTTTAGACTAAATGCCTGAAGAATCTGTTAACCTTGATTAAATTTCATATTCATATACCATTACCTGCCATCGTCTGCAACATACACCAGAATGTTGCCTGGTTTTATGTCTCGGTGGGAAAATCCATTTTGGCGAAGATGTTTCATTCCGGACACTGAAATTTATTTTACAGGTTTATTGACAGATTGTGACTGAGAATATTTTATTAACCTCCTCTTTTGAATCAATATGAGAGAACTTTGTTTGACTTCCTCAGCTTTTTCTTTTATATCCTGGCTCAAAAGTTAAAATTTTATTACACATGACACTTTTATTTGATTTTAACTTATTAGCTTCCTATGACAGAACAAAGAATAAAATGAAAATATATAACACAAATTAATGTTGAAATTCTGCAACATTATTTAGAATTAACTGAATAAAACAAACCCAGATGACGAAAAAATCGTAGGAATTCGTCCTCCTCCAGACCGTAGGAGTTAGCGGGGTCTCGCAGCAGCTCCAGGAGGTTCCCCTTCTCACAGAGCTCCATAACAAGGATAGGTTTAGATGTCTCCTTCTGTTGGAAAAAGTCATTAACCAACTCTTATAATTATACAATGTAGCTTTACAAAATTAGCATTTCATTGACTTCATTAAATAATGGGTGTGACCAGCAAAACTCAGTAAAATTTGTTTTTCTTAATATTTAGATTTTGTTTTATTCTAAAATTGGTTAAACCATTTTAGAAAGAAGGCAAAAATGTACAAAAGTTTACCAACAACGCATAATGAATTATTTAGTACAGATAGCAAATGTCATCTAAAGGAGTCAGGTGTCCTAATCATTGTGTTAATGCTTTCTAAGGGGGTGGGGTGTTCTAACATTCAGTGTCTTTAGTTTGTTTGTCCTTACGTCGTGCTCCAGCTGATGGAACTTTGTGATGTTGGGATGCTGTAGCTGTCTCATGGCCTCTACCTCTCTCTGTAGTTGCTGGGTATAGCGTGGATCACATAGTTTTAACGCGCATTGTTCTCCTGTAACCTGTCAACATAAAAACATGAACATTACAAAAATCAGAAAAATTTAATATATTGTTGTACACTGTATCAAGCCGGGGTCCTGACTCCTGAGTCATGTATAGTGACATCTTTTGGAAAAATTACAAATCTTGATTGTTTTTCTCATCTCTCAACCAATCAATTCAATCCATTTTATAATAAACAATTTGTAACATGTGCATTTAAGGTGTCAACTGAATCCTTATTTAATTATTTTTGAAAGCTTTAATTTGATTGGTGCTTCTCAATGAGAGAAGTAAGAGCATAATTATTTTATGATATAAGCCAGGGGACCTCTGGCATTGCAAGGATGGGGTGTCCTATATTGTGGAGAGGAGTGCTTGTGAATATCCATTCAAACCTGACTATGTTTCACAAGAAAAATGTCAGGTTTAACTGGTCCATTTGGTTTAGGATTTTAAGTATCCCTCCTTTCATCGCCAAATTTTAAATATTTGCCTTATTGGCTTATATATAGCCATAAATGGAGAATAAAATTCTCGAAAATTGAAGTAAATGTCCTTATTTTATAGTCTCCTATCTACATTGTCAAAGTATTTTATTATACCACAGTTCAGATTTCACATAAATGAAAATGAAAGTAGAATCAGAGAATCATCTGACTGAATGTTCAGTCCCTACCTTATGGACGCCCCTGTACACATCCCCTGTGGCACCCCGTCCAAGACATTCATCTGTTTTATATACATAATTCTCAGTAGCACGATACACATTCATTTTATCATAATTTAAAGGTATAATTTAGTCTTAAATTGTCTGTCCTCCATCTTTCAATAAAGGGAAATTACTTCTACCGATAATGTCTTAAAATAGAAAGTGGGGATTTCCCAAAATTGCGATGAGATTTATAGTACTAAATTTTAAAACGATTTCTGCGAATAAATTCAAGGCTGAGGTTAATTTACACCCTCCACGACATACGTAAAACTGTAAATTCTTCTTCGATTGTTTTCAAGTCTTTATTTTTTGGAATAAAAATTAATTTAATGTCTCATTTTAAACATGTTAAATGATATCATGAAGAGAATGGTGGAGAAGACAAAGTTTTGTTGACGCTTTCTTCCAAATTTCCTTTACATCTCAGTTGACATTAACTCGGGGATGGGTGATGTATGTAGAAGAATATTTTCCCAAATACCCCCCCCCCCTCCGAATCTCTAAGTCTCTTTAAATATTTTGAATTGAATCGAATTAAAAGTAGAACCCCCCCAATAGGGAAAATATCACTATAAAGTCATTTTCCCCTTTCTTGCTTGTGTAGCATTTCCCTTTTTTATGAATGCTAAAATCATATAATTAAAAGACAATATTTTGGCTGAAAGTTGTTCCTTTGTAATTTGAAAAGTTTGAAAAGATGCTCATAATTTTTTCATTGCTTGTCCGAAATATACTTCTCTAATTAATGTACTTTTCCAAACAATACAAAATATTATTGATTGTGATCAGATTGATGAACTTGATTTATTTTTGTATGGTAGTCCTAATCATGGACTAAGTATGAATATTCAAATATTTGATGCAGTACAGGCATGATGCGCCGTTTTGGTACTAGTTTTACTGGAAAAATGTGATATCACCTATTCGAATTGTTGATATCCCCATTTCATTTCCAGATTTTTATCAGAATTTTACCAGAACTAATTGTAGGTTTGAAAATATTTGAAGTCTTTAACAGAATAAATATGTGCACAAGATATGGTACATGCAAAAAGGAACTGAAGACGATTTCAATATTTGGTGTCTGCACTATCACTGATAAAAGCAAAAAAACTTTACAGTCCATGATTTTATAAAGAAAAGTGTTTTTTCGAGATACCATATCTCCATTGAGCATATTCTCTTTCAAAGTTTGAGTAGCCTTTGTTTGAGTGGCCATTTTAAAAAGGTATCGTTGGACTGTGTATCACTCTGATTAGTGAATGGAATTCAGTATCACAAAGTAATTGATGACTAGCTCTCAAGGCTTTTTGATTTACAATCAATTGCATGAAGACTTATATAGTATAAAGCCTGTACCTAATTGACGTTTACTGAGAATTTGCATAAAATCATTGAGTAGAAGGTTAGGGAGAGATAACTTGAACATCTATTATAGTAAGGATATGAAAATCTTGAGAGTATTGTATCATTTATCTCAAGTAAGCTGCACATAATCATTTGTAAAAGAATTTTACCAGAGAACTAATTGTAGGTTTGTACATATTAGAAGAGTTAACAGATTAAATATGTGCACAAGATATGGTATATGCAAAAGGGAACTGAAGACGATTTCAATATTTCAAACTAGTCATTCGATAATAAAATTATCAATGCGTAACTTTGTCGAAAGAGTCCTTCGACATAATTCCTTGATTTGCATGAAAGAGAAATAGTCATTATATATATTAGTTAAATTTGAATGAAATATTTCATTCAATCTGTTCTTAATTTCCTTTCAATACACTAAATAAAAGAAGGTTTATAATCATATTTTCAATTCATTCTATTGCAACAAATTGACTACCCTTACCACAGTAAAATTATTGCAGCAATATTACTGCTATATTGCGGCAACATTGCAGCAACACATTTTTGTCACCAGAAACAATTAAGCTTTTTGGGTTAGTGAAATATCACCGCTAGCTGCAACAACTTCTGGTGACATTCTGGGAATACTGCCAGAAGAAAACTTTCTGGCAGTATTGCCAGAATGTCACCAGAAGATCTAGGATTATCCATTGGGCATTTGTGAGCATGCTCAGTCATTTACATCCTCTTTTTAAATAAAATGGAGGGAATTCAAAGGCAGGCATGTTTTGCTTCATTATTGAATGGTATCAAGTTAATTGGAGTTGTTAATTGTGTACAATAGGATTAGATGGTGACTAGTAAGACTGAATAATGTGGAATAGCCAGAAAAAAAAAATTTCAGCAGTTTCCATGGCATGACCTTTTGAAAGAATTTTAGGAATGTCTAACTCTGTTTTCATGGTATACACTTAACAAAACTTCTAAGTGTTCACTTTAATAAATGTATTTATTTAAAAAATACTTTACAAAATGGTATGATATTTTCAAATTATTACAACAAATGAATCTTCTCAACAATTGTAGAAAGAAAATAAAAGATCACCTATGAAAACCAATGTTCCGTGACGAAGCTTAAAAACAATAAATCTGTACTTTGTGGTACGTGTTTCGTGTAATTAGCATCTTTTTGTGATCATTATCAAATTTTGAAAACTGGTTTCACTAAAAAACACAAAACATTGGCAAAATGACCACTGATAATGAAGGGAGAGCCGCTGGAGTGTTGATATCTGGACCATCCTTGCACCACGTTTTACTCATTTTTATTTTAGCGTTTAATTGTCTTTGATATTACTTTTAAAAATTAACAACCAGTATCAAAACCATTCAAACACATTTTTCTATAGGATGTGCATATTTTTTCATCGCCAATTTATCACAATTTGAAAGTTTTGGACAAAATTTAAGCAAACCGGAAGTGACCTTGATCTTCATCTGAGGCCAAATATTCGCGTCACACCAGGTT